AACTCCAAATTTGAGATGTTATCTGAAACGTTGTGGTGTTTGATCGTGTTTTATACGGGTTTTTGTTAAGCGACCGACGTGATATTAGTTCAAAGAATGATAATATTGTTGAGAGTAGTATGAGGTTCCTGAGTGGAACTCATGGTTACTGTAATACGCAAAATACACGAGTAATGCATGAATGAAGCGAACAAAATGAAGCAAATGGAGAAAGGAATAAGGAAAACGCAATAAATGCACCACTACCTACAAGATGAACTAAGGTAAGTACTATATTTTATGTGAATGTTGCCTATTTTGCTTTTACTGGCTTTATTTTGCTTATTCATTTTTTTTTGTGTTGACTGCCAGTACCATTGACCCTTTTATTTTGACCGCAGGATGAACTATACTCGTTGAGCTATTGATATTACGATGTAGTAATGTAGTACAGTGGGATTTGAATTAACGGTTGAACTAGTCAAAGGAAGAATGCACTGAGATGGTAGACCCGTCCGAATAACACCTCACCCTAACTACCTCATTGGGTGGCCAAGCCACACGGTAGAGGGGTTTTGAGAGGCCTCTCCCTAAGTGCGTCCAATTGCTTGGAACTTACAGGTACGTGGACATGTCTCAACAGTCTACCGGCCATCGCTGTGGCGCTACTACAGCTCTGGCTGGAGGCCGTATATCGCCTCCACTCACCTTGTGGATTCACCCGTTCCCTTTGACTCGTTCCTCCGTGTCCTTCGATGTTGCTGCTGGCCCTCCTTAACCATGCCAGACTGTCGACTAGTTGCCACCCCTAGTCAACTACTGTTGTGGAGGGCACTGGCGCGATCCCCTCGTTGTACTATTGAACTACATTCTTTTGAATTAGCCCTTGAGTTGTTCTCCGTTTTGTTTCCCTTGAACTATCCGCAAGCCGTGTCCTAGAGGGCAGTGGCAGGGCATATTTTTACCGGTTATCGATAATCGATAACCGAACGAGTCCGCTTCGCCATCGCCGATGCACCATGTTGCGAGTCGGTGGGTCCAGGACAGGGCTAGAGTGCCACTTGTAAGGAAACCCGGCTGAACTACGTGGGAGCAATAGTGCAAACAGTCAACCCCTAGTGACCGCGCGCTGACCACTAAGTTACTAATGAACTAATTATCCTAACGGCCAGTTGACAGACCCTAGCACGGTGAAACCGACCTTAGTACATTTGACTAGTACGTAGATAGTGTGTATGGCTTAACCCTTATTGCTACACAACACTAACAAGTGCACTACTAAGTATTTATGATTGTACTACTCTTAATGTATTATGAACTAGGATTTAATACAAGTAATGTTAGTAGCTCTTTAAACTAACTCACGTCGGGTCGCTTCCCTCGACCCGCCGATCGACCACATGAGATTGAACTAAGAATAGTATCCAGAATAAGCGTTCTAAGGGCTAACGCCCTGCGAGTCTGCAGAACCGACGAATAGGGGCAGAACCTTGATGACAGACGCGAACACCGGGACAGGCCGTGATGGCCGTTGCGAACGGCCCGTGCTGTTCCCGCACGATCGACGGGGTAGTTCGTAGTGGTCATGTCTGCAGTACTCGCAGGCGCACGGCGCGCCCGTAGGGTTCCGTTGGAGCGGTCTTTGCGGTACGCGACATTGGAGGTTGTTTTCAGATTTCCATTGAAATTTTGATGCACCNGTAATTTTGCCTCATCCTGTACTTCTCCTTTTACTTTCAGTTCAGTGGGCAACTTAGTCATAACTGCGAAGCGCTCTTACATGCCAGTCCCTATCCCGGTCTTGCCCTTCATAGAACAACTAGCGGCGTAACAACACACACTGTTAGTTCTGTGAAATTGCTCGTACTTCTAAAAAATGAGCATTTAACATTTAGTTCAACAAGTGGAACACATCCTCATTGATCACTATCACTCTATTCGATTCAACAAGAATATGATGAGAATATTTGTACTCTTTAAGGCTCCAATTTTTTTGCCAAAGAAGAACGTAGAATATTCCAGAAAGGAATGTCAAAAGTGCTGGTTTCTGTATGTGGCGATATTTCTGTGCTCAGCCCCTTCTTCTTACCGGAAATATTTGAATTAGTAAGTTAGTTAATATTTTGGAAAATTTTACTAACTCATCTTCTCCGCCTACACCCGTCCAATTAGGAGCGGCAGAAACTACCCGGCCTGCGTCCTCAAATGTCCCTAGGCTGCAATGTATAATTAAGGTGACATTGGCCATGCGGCAGCCTTGCAGATATGCGAGGGTCGGGCATGTTGACCAGCTTCTACCCCAAACGGGTGTGGTAACTTCATGTTAATAAAGGCTGAGTAGGGTGAGCTGGTTGGATTTTCCAAAATATTAACAAACTTACTAATTTAAATATTGCAAGGCAGAAGAACGTGCTTAGCGCCGAAAAACTGCCGTATCCCGAAACAAATACTTTTGGTCTTCCTTTTTAGAGAAGTTTTGTGTCCTGTTTTGGCGATAAATTTTCGGAGCTTCAAAGAGTACAAACATTCTGATCAAATGAGGCCTCGGGGCAGCCAGTCCCATGTGATGCTTCAACAGGCAGAGTCACTTCCAAAACACACAAATTTACGAGCAGGAGAGACGGCCAAAAAGACGAAATCCTGGAACGAAAAGCATACTAGCCGTTGTTGCTCGTCGCTGTGGTGGGCTGGCGTCAAGGTAGTCCATTTTGCTCGCAACCAAGACTTACATTAGAATCAGTGATCTGATGGACGGAGATCGGTGCGGTATATAAGGTCATTGAACGCAACTGGTGTACTAGGCCCCTCAGCGTGCTGGGGGTGCTTGGAAATGCTCCCTAATGCCCTTCCGCCAGTGACCTAATGCAACCTTAATGCAACCTCAAAACCACCGTGATCACTGCTTTGGAGATCAGTTGGAGATTTTTTCTTTCGAATATCTCAAAGCTCCAAAAAACGAAGAATCGAACATACCAAAAGGCGTAGCATAGTAATGAACGTAATGGTTCGAATGACAAAAATTGTGCATGAAAACTCTTCCGGCGGATAGTTTTGGCCGAGCCGTAGCGCATTGTGAACACAGACAATAGACATATATTCAATTTTCCTCAGCCCAAGTTTGCTCCATAAGTGGTCCAGCTACACTAAAGAGCATGTGGATGCAAGCTCGTCCACAACTTATGATCAAGGTGCAGAAAGCTCATTTCACAGGCTTCTAGCCGTTTTTTCTAATTTCGCCCTACTTACCAAGAAATGTTTTGAATTTATCATGGAACTTTGAAAGGAGACCCAAGTAGAGGGACACAGTATTAGACGCTAATTACAATCATGTTTACTGAAATTGCTACGTAAGCTTTGTAAAAAAAATTGCGAGACTTAAAAGTTGCAAAAGAACGCTATGATAAAGTTTCACAAGAATGCTGGGCTGCGAACATAACTTTTGGCACAGAGCATCCTATGTGGAAACGGTTGCTTGTTGCCTGGAATTTGCTCCATAAGAGGAAACGGGTGTCCTGACTACGAATACTCGAAACTCGGTTTTGGCGCAGTGCCACGGCAACTGTGACTCCACCAGGTAAGCTGACCACAGTAACGTTTTTTGCTAACTATGAAGGATCATAATTTTCTTAGGAAGTTCAGGTAGCAGTTTTAGTGTCCCTATATGTAATCAGCGTTCCGACTCTATCGATTCATCGAAGTATCCCTCCAAGCTTTCATGGGAAGTTCAAAGCATTTCCTGGTTAGTGTCGTAGGCCTCACTTTTGATCAACAGTAAATTCTTGTGACCCCTACCTTTCGGAGTTTTCGGGTCATACGCAATCCATAGGAATGAATGAGTTGTGTGATAGATGACATTTGGAAGGAATGGAATTTGAATCTTTCTTCCCAATCTATCCATTCACGCCGGAAGGTTTATTGGCTAATTTAGAGCTTTTACTTTGTGAAGATGCTACGACCTTGAGAGCCTCGAATTCGGGGGACGACACCCAAAAAACTATAGTCGAATTATGGGTGAGGGATGGTGAAGAGCCACCTGCCAGGTACGTATCTTGGCGTATCACCGTAACGCACAATAATTTCAAGCGAGAAGAGCTTTAAGTTAGCGCTGCCAAAGTTAAATGTAGCGACCAACTTGTTGTACATTCCTCTCTTGTAATGATTACAAGTTGTTTTTCAGTCCACTTCCTCTCCCAAGGTTCTAGGTGGAGAGGATTCATATAGTTCAGACAGTAGATTGCTGTATACAACCCGAGTGGAGTTTGAAGGTTCAGTCTCAACGAGCGTTGGATTGAGGTCTTTAACTGGCCACTTTCAACGATTTACTGTCGAATCGATATCAGCCTAAAGGTGATTTGCATTTCGTTCACAGGGGCGCACTTTCTGTGATTGTGTGTACTTTCGTTTGTTTGACATGATCCGGGATCATTGAAGAGTATTTTCGTCGGTTCTCTTGACGAACCTATGATCTCAATTCTTTTTGCAATGTTTAATCCAGTGAATCAAACTGAACCTATGAGTATGACCGGTCAACATTTGTAGGATGCGCCGAACTTTGCTAGGGTTCCCTCGAATGTTTTGAAAAAAAAATCTCCCTCCATTTCGGCGAGATCATCCGTTCATTATTCCGAACAGCGTTTTCTGTTTCTTTATCCAGTATCACAGGCGGATTTCGGAGATGCGGGAGGTTTACTTTTTTCATGGTCTTCAACTTAAAAGCTCTAGTACTGTAGTTGCTGGACAAACAGCATTCTGCGGTCTGAAATAGCGCCTGCGCTCATGAAATAGCGTTTTACTTCTATAGCACCTGCGACAGTTTTGCCTATTTTTAGCTTTGTGTTTATTCATTTTCCAATCCTTTCAATTGATTGCACATTCATCGTCGAATCTGTCAACTGTATCCAACGTTCACGGAACTTTTTGATGCTTTTTTGCTAGAAAGTGGCTGACTGTGGTCAACTGATTAAGACATCTTGTTTTCAAATTGCCGATTTCGATTTACAGTATGTTGTGTATCTCTTATTAACCAAGTCGATTTTCGATTTTTGTCAGATAGATCACGTTCTAAGGAACAAAATAAATGGAGTTCAATCTTCATCTCTTTCATGACAACGAGCGGCCAGATATGCAAGAGCCTTGTCTAGGAATCCCTTCATCCAGCCTTGGGGTTGTGAAGCATAAACTATTTGTTACTTCATAGAAATACTTGATCAGTAGAATACGTAGTGACTAGCAAGCCCAGCTCCAAAGTTCTCTGGCGAGTCGCCTCACGACTTCTGGCCGCACGTTGTCATGAAAGAGAGGAAGATTGGTGCAGCAAGGCCCTCCAGCTCCAGGATTGTATACCATGAACTCCGACCGCCACAATGTCGGAAACCCGCTTGGAGCATTCTGGCAATACCACACCAACTGTGTCCAACGCGAGCACGGTTTCTGAAATAAAATATTGCCAGATTGGAGACTATGCCAGAGAAGAAATAGGTAGAACGGTGACAATGATCTTCCATTGAAGGTAGCGCGGACACTTTTGGTCGCCATCGTGAAGTCGTAGTCATGGAGGACAATGACTCCGACTCCAGACTGCCCAATGGCTACAGCTTTCGGATTTTATAGCTATCAACTGCTGCGTCAAAATGCCACGTTTCCTGAGAGTACAGAAGACTTTGGAATGTTCTTTCATACTTCAAACCATGAATTTATTAGAGGAGCAGGTTGTCGATTTTAGTCAACTCACAAACTGCAAACTGAAAGTACTTAATGTAATCCTCTGACTTGATGCTCAGTAATTTTGCGTATTGGTTTTTGCTGTCATTCTAAGCCGCGGTAAATTTTGTGAATTTTTTGAGGATTTTCCATTGTTCGATCATTGCAAAAATGATTCTTGGAACATAAGCCTGTACATTTTCAAATTTTTGTACTATTTTAATGCGCGTGTGACTTCACTGTAATTAGCACAACATTAAATTGCGCGACGCGTCATGAATCATTAGGAGAATCGCTTCCTAGCGTCGATGTGATGGCAGACTCGATCGAGTTGGACGATCAGTGGAGACCTCGCCCTCCTTCGATGCTTGTGGAACGGCTTACGTTCGTCATCCTCCCCCGGACCGTCCTTCCTGCCAATATTTAGCTACCGCTAGACGGCTCTCTCTCACAGATACTGTTGCAACACTGGCAAATTTCTCCCATGCCTTAGCTATTCATTTAGCAATTTGCTTTACTAGTTCGCATCTTCTTTCGCTTCAAAATGCATCGCTTACTTCACTGGAAATCTCAAAAGAATCCAGTCAACCTTCTTCAGAAAATTGTTGAAGATGGATCGTCGTTTCCGAGTGCCCCCATTCTCACCTATTGGATTTCATAGCCGCTTTTTTGATGACTTTTCCGACTTCGACCGACCACTTCATCGACCCTACTGGATGGATCAAACCATGCTTACCGGGCATCGAATCGGAGAGGGCATTGACGTGAGTTCGTCTTTGATTGCCCAGTGCTGATCAGTATCACGGCAAACTAACAAAAGTCCTTCAGCTGGTCGACAACGATAGGGAGTACTCTGTATCCGTAGATGTGTCGCAATTTGAACCCGAAGAACTTACGGTGAGTACAGCTGCTATTGATATTCAGATAAAAGAGAAATGCTGCCATAAATTGGTCGCTCGTCAGAAGAAGAAGTAGGGCTGGCAAAGGGGCAGTTGGGACGCAGAACTTAGTGATGTTCTCTAACACAGTGAAACTAGATATTGCTTAAGTGATTTCCACGCTCAACGCTGTCATTGTGAACGCATTGCTCTGTCTTCCTTTGCTGTCTCAAAGCAAACGCAACGTAGAAAAGGAGCATCTCTGCCCCTCATCCGCCTAGCCTCCCTATGGAGAAGTAAGATCTAAACTTCTTAAACTTCAATTTTATCCCATCACCCGCCTCTAGGTCATGGTCATTAATAACACTGTAGGTTGTGTTCATGGTAGGATCGAAGTGTGCCTTTACTATCATTGACCTCGGCTTTACTGTAGCTTACTGTGCGCTACAGGGTCAACTTACTCTATTCGGCCGAACCAGTCGGAGGGGTTTTGGCCTATAGAGATGAGTGAGTGGGTTGTAAAAGGGGTGTCTGAGTGTGAAACAGTGCCTCCCTACATTTTTGAATAAACATAAAAGAGGACTACGTGATAAGGTCGAAGAAGGAGAAACTTACTTACCTTAGAAGAAAAACAGGCGGCCCGCTAGGAGTGCTATCGGCGCGGAAAACCACCGATGGCTAACCATTCACCAAAGCTCTATACGCGAGAGAGGCAGAGAGAGCATAAGCATCCAACCCTCCTTACGGAGTCCTAGAAAGCCTTATTTGAAGAAGTTGTGAGTTAAGCCCTATCTATTCCATTTCGCCCCTCCGTGATGTTTCCACCGAAAAAAAAGAAAACCACGCGTGCGGGGTAACTCGTCCTTCAGCCCACATGAGCCGTCATTGGCTCAGTTTATTAGGCCTTTAGCGTCACGTTAGATGATTCTCATAGGCTCTTCTAGCCCATATGGATGAGATGGAATCATGTTTGCCCGGGAAGTATTCCTTTCACTACAGAAAAAACAAAGGGATAGGAACGATGGGGTTTTCCAACGAGTTTTTGGACTACTTCTTTGTTTCTTCTTTCTTAGCTCGCCTCATACCCTAACGAAATCGTGCACTAAACTTGCTGTATTTTCCCCATCCCCTTCCGCCAATGCGCCAAGTGGGGTCCAGAGCGGGGTGCACGGTGTAGCGTCCATGTGTTGTCTCGTATGAAGGAATTGAACTTGATCGAATGAATTATGAGGTGAAAGGAAGCCATTTAGCGCGATAGATTAGGATGCAATAGAAAGGCAAAATGTGTTCTGCCATAGATAAGGATAGCAACAAAGATTTCCAAGTGAAAACACTGCAATAGACAAAGCGACCGACGCGCTTTCGCACCAACATTTGTGACAGATCTGCAGAAATTTGGAACGAGTGATAGGTTTCTTAATTTTTTTTTGGAAAATGTCGGAAATTTCCGTTCACCAAAACAAACACGACTTTCAATTTCTCTCCGTTCCTATCGTGAAGGGCGGGCTCCAGATCTACGATCGGTGAGGAAGTAGAATAGTGCTTCTCTTTTTGTTCCTGTTTTTCTGACGGTTCTCGTGCACGATGACTTTATGAATGAATGGTAACAAAAAAGATGTGGAAGCGTTCACTAATTAATGTGGAGGTAGAGAGTGGTGTGGAAAATAAGAAGAAAACAAGAGAAACCCCCTATATTCCTCGAATGAAGACCTCCTCTCGCATTTCACCTTGACAGGGAAGGGTCGTGTTGCACGAGTATCACGAGCTTAGCTCCAGTTGCTCCAGTGCCAGTGACATTAAACCGCAACGGAACCGCTGCCGCAACTGCGCCCGTACTTTTCAAGCAGCGTCAAGTGCAGCCGACAACGGAGGGCGGGGCTTGCGGACGAAGGAGTGGATTGCAGGTCGAGCGAGCATCCAGCGCCTTCGTCGCGTAATTGAAAGCGGCGAAGGGGGGGGGGAGATGGGACATCAGCACTAGTCTGCCCGAATACTACGATTAGGTATGGAACAGCTGAGCGTGCCTAATCACGAAGCGTGCCTTCTAGCAAATCCTCAATTTTCAGGACGGAGGAAGTTGTAAAGTTGACCGTTATAGAGGGCATACCTTTTGTTTACAAAGAAACGCATTTCAGCAGCCTCCCGTTTTCTTTTGTTTTCTAGAGCGTTCTATTTTTAGGTAAACATTGTAGACAACGTCCTCACAATTGAGGGGAAACATGAGGAGAAAACCGACAAATTCGGAAAGGTACTGCATAAGCTCACTCCCGAAATGCTTTGTTGTAAGTGTCTGAACAAAAACACCTGTGTTACAGGTTGAACGGCATTTCCTGCGCAAGTACGACCTGCCGAGCACAGTGAAAGCCGACGAGGTGAAAAGTGAGCTGAGCAAGGAAGGAGTTCTCACCGTGAAGTACTACCGACAGCCCGAGCTTCAGCCGAAAGTGATCCCGATTTCGATTCAACCAAAGCACTAATAGTAGAATGAGCTCCTTGAGATCATTCAGAGTTTTCCTCTTCGCTAGCACTGCGGCCTTGCTCACCTTCTCTTCATCATAATCCAGTTTATGCTCTTCCTTGTTAGAACCAAGCTTTTTCTTTGTTACCAATCCTATAAGCCTTTTTGATAATTAGGCGTTATCACGCTCTTGTTCAAGCAATTATTGAACGTATAAAAGATTCATTGTGATATCACAAGCTCGCTGACAAGTATGTTTGCTACGTCAATCAGCGAAGGCGAACGTGCACGAAGCTACGTAGAAACGGAGTATTGCCAATATTGTCGAATTCAGCACCTTAAAACATTTCCCCCAGCAGCGGTTATGAGCAGCTCCAACGCAGTGCTGAAGTTCTGGTGCTGCCATGCGTCACGACTCTGCTCCCTGCTTTTCGATTGACCTCGAAAATAACCGCGCAAAGGCATCTCGAATGCACTGCAATCCAGTGAACTGCTTGATCTCCATCTGAATTGCATCCATAGGTTGCTCAGTGTTTCTTTCACACTCCCCTTTGCAGGTGAAGCATGCAGTGCAGCGTACACTGATTTAAAGGCAAACCCCGGGATTGACCCTACTAGTAGAAGGGATTACGGAGGGAAACTGTAAGGTCCGTACGTAACTGGATCACTCCAGCTCCGTCGCAAAAAATGCGCGGTTAGGGCGCTAATTCTTACGGGCCCGCAACCATCGACTCCCATTTCAACGCATCTCACCCGCCGCGAGAGGTGGTGAGATCGGCGTGCATTGATGAGAGATCAGGCTACTCTCTCGAACGGCGTGCTCTCTCGCGTATTTTGTCTTCTTTGACCTCCCTTTCTCGCCATTGTACCACATCCGACCCTGATGAAGGTTAAGGCCTTAATTGCAGCGTTCCCAAAGATTTCTCTTGCTTTCCTTCCCATTTTTAGGTCGTTCCGCAGCTAAAGTATCACCACAGAGCGCAGATAGCACCTGTTTTATCCCGGAGTTTGCCTTTAACCTTGAAATCTGTACGTCACTGTCCAAGCGACTACAAGTTATAAAGTTTTCCTCAAAATCATCCATAGCAGTGATAACGGTTCTTGACACAAAGTGAATTCATCCACCGCTGATTCTGGTACCCGGTTCTGTGGGGACAGAGCCTACCACTAACGAAACAGAAGAATTTTAGCAACTCGTCGCCACGTTCCATTCCCTTTTCTCTTCACCTCAAAACAAGAGGTTCGACCGAATAGAGGGATATAAATATCAACTCCTACGGTTCTCTTGCAGTTACAACTGATACGAATGATGTGCCATGGAGCATTCTGAAATCGAAGGTGGATTAACGGAATGGATGGATTCTTCAAAAGTCCCAGTGTTAGGGCACGGGAATCAGAGCGTGGAGGAATTCCGGAACAGGTCTAAAAGGCTCCAATAAACTTAGGAATGCGTGCATAGGTTAGGCTCAATTCTCTTTGTCAGATCAGTACGCTTCCTAATTACGAAGGACTAGCATGGCGCATCAGAGATAGCATGCCATTTAGAAGCACTTCGACGCTCCCTCCACTCCATAAGCGAAACAAACACTGCGTCACGGTGATCGGATTGCTTTCCCCATGAATCCTCCAGTGACTTAAAGCCATACCCCAGGATTACATTGGTGTGGTCCCATATGCGCGAATGTGATTGTACTGGTGGGAAGTGGGACGGCAGTAAAGAAAAAAGGAAAAGAATCCGTAAAAAACGCTTAGGTTAAGGGCTCACTCACCTTCCTGATCGGCTGTGCTAAGGGAATGAGAGACCAAGTGCGGAGAGGAGAGTATGGGGCGAGAGAGCACTACAGATGAGAGAGCGCCAGACAACAGCCTGATAAGAAAAAAAAAGTCTGCAGCTTGGGCAGCTTACTTTGCAAGGCCCAAGCGCTCTTATCGGTCGGTTTCCGTGCACGAGGACGCCACATCTGTGATTTTCCTCTAGAGGTCTATACTAGAGACCGAAGAGAAGCGTTCACACGAACTCTGCCTGGGTTGTGCCTTTAACTACTGATATGCGCTAGACTCAAAAGTAGAGGCAAAGTACGGTTTTATATCCCAGCCCGGCATCGGCAGGCACTGTCATGCTATAAGAAGGTACAATTATCATCGGTATAGAATTTCACCATTATGTTAAGAATCAAGAATCAAGTTCCAGGGCACATTCCGCCCAGTTAAGTTGACCTCTCGCCGCTAAGGAAGGCGTAACTTTGCGCTCCGCTAGCCGTTCGAGAGAAATACGCCAACGATTCGAGTTATCTTTCTAACCTAGTCCTATAGGAGCCAATGAGTTAACAGGCTCCTTAGAACATCAACGTTAGCTCACTTCGGCCCACATCGAGAACAGCTGACAGTATTCGACACCGGACGCTTGCGTACGAATTGTTTGATCGAGAACTGCTTCATGGCCAACTACCGCCCGCTTCCGACGCTGTCGCCGGCATTTCACAAGGAAGCAGTGCTAGATCAGAGAGGTACTGGGCGCACAAGGGCCGACATCGCGCCCCGCCGCCTCCGTCGGCTATTTAAAGGAATCTTCCACGGATCATGGACCAGTGGGCGGGGCCGGAAGTGGTTTTGCGACGAAATGCATGGTAGGTACGGATCCACGTTCATGGGAAGGTTTGAAGTGAATCCTGTTCACGTTCGTGCGTTCCACACGTGGATCCGTGCTTACCATGCATTTCGTCACAAAAACTTCCGGTCCCGCCCACTGGTCCATGGTCCGTGGAAGATTCCTTTAAGGGCACGCCCTAGGATTAAGGATCAAGTTCTTAGTATGAACACCCAGTAAGATAGAGGTGCGAAGACCGAAAGTGAAAAAGAAGTCGAAGAAACCATTGAATTCCTCAATGTTAGGGGCTTAGATTCTCTGCAAGGTTGGCCGTGGCACATCGGAGTGTCACAGCGCGTAGAGAAGCGAGGATACGCGAAGGCACCATCTTACGCACTAGAGGGATAATCCAATGGTCTACCCTCGAGGCGAGCTTCTAGAGCGTCGTCTCAGCTTCATTCAACTTGCAGCGCGAAATTCTCATCTTCTGGTATTTGGAAAAGGGAACAGTCAGAATCCTTGAAGCCGGGCACTGCAATGGTACGAGTGGGTAATGCACTATAAATGACACCTCAACAAGGAGAGGTGCTAGATGGATGACGTGACAGAAGGCTACTGCTACGTTCACTACTTCTCTTCCACGCTGGGATTACGAGTAATTTCATTTACCAAGAGCAAGAGGCAAACTCGTGCCTCCTGAATTATATCAACCAATGGAAACACATTGAATTGCTGTACGTTCCTTGAATCTCCAACAGAGAAGAAAGACTTTCAAGACCACACTCAAATCACGATCACGATCGCCCGACATTGAGATTCACGTCCATTCCGTAACCCTGATGTGATAGTGCTATTATTGAGCGGGAGATTGAAAGCTGTTGTGAGCTCAAAGCATTGTTAATTTTAAATATCATTTCTTGCACATAATTTCCACAGTAAATATCATTATTCTTCAGTGTTGAAACTTTCTTCAATTCTTCAATAGAAGCTGACCGTCTCGTGTTTCATCCAGTTCAGCGACTTAAAGAAGATAATACGGTGGCACCAACTTTCATGTAAAATAAACGTTCTTCATACCTTGAGCTGAGATAAATTTTCTTGCTCAATGCATGCACCTGGAGACTTGGGACGTAGCTCAATTGGTGGAGGCTAAAAGGGCCATCGAATTAGGAACAGAATTTATCGTGGCTTATCATGCATCAATTATGCATTCCTTCTTTGAAGTTGAATCTTGGAATATTTTCTCAATAAGCATACGTTTACGTTAGGCTAGTTTTTTTACGTCTGCAAAAGGTGCAGTTGAAAAAACAGCAGAGTATCTCTATGCATACAAAGAAGAGTGTGCTTATGAAGAAGTCCAGTACAGAAGTAATTAACTTTGGGATCACCCTCGAAACTATGACTCTTGATTTCTCAGTAGTATAGTGGTTACAAAGGTTGAATTGAACCTGTGACATAGTAATGGGTATGTTTTGTGCAAAGTTTATATAATCACTACCAATTCTACATGGCGAAGGGGGGGGGGGGTAGCCAAGAAAAAGGGGAACTTCTCTCCACATCCGAAACGGAATTGACCACATGTTGCGAAATCAAACAAAATGCGCTTTACCGAATATTAAAGAGTCCTAATCTATCAAAAAATTACATAATAGCCTTCTACCCGACGACATCAGACGATTATCCCACAGAAACATGGTCCAGGACGTAACGAGGTCGCAGAGGTACGGTATACCATTGCAACGTCCTTGAAACTCAGATCAAAAGCGGTCCTGCTATTACAATCACAGGTCCTGTTAGTGTCTCTAAGAAGCTATTCACGAGTTAAACGATTAGGGATTTATGTAGCAGCTTCAGGCTAGAGCGATTACGGTAAGCCCCGAGATGTGCACCGTGGGTGAAGTGACTCTCTTTTTTGCCCCCCCCCCTGTATACGTAAGGCTTCTTGGTTTGCAGATTAGTTTTAAATCGCGTCAAAAGAATCCTCTATAGAAAAATTATGATTCGATTCCAGCCATTATTCTTCAGCTTAAAACCCATCATCTACGATAAGAATGGAAAGAACAGAAAAATTGAATTTGATTTGGTGAAAAAAAATTGAAAAAAACAGAAAAAGGTGCTATGCCTTCAAGTTACCGACGCACACCTGTCACAAATGCTGGCGACGGGAATGCTTCCACTCGGTTCTTGGAGTGCCGTCACTAAAAACTCTGTCTGGCCGTCTACTTATTGCATTCACATCTTACACTTCTACTCCATCCTATTCCATCAATCGATTTGTCTCTACTCTCCAAAGTCGCACGTTTTATTCCAATTCTTTCATTGCTTCGCCTGATACGTAGGCGCCCCAGTGCGGACTTATTCCTACCCCGCCTTTGACTCCGCCCGAATTACCTTCGATTGTCCATAGACTGGATTTTCGTAAGTTTTTTCTC